AAACCTCTTGAGTCTCTCTTCTTTCCAGAAGGCCGGAGTCTTATCAGAGGGATGAGCAAATATCCTCTGTCCCTATTTTTTGAAAAACAAAACACTGCTCATGGTGCCATGCCCATGTTTAAGTCGTATGCTACAGAAATTGACTAACTATCATAAACACAGGTATGGAGGACCTCTGTAAGTTTTCATTTCCCTTGGCTGCAGGGCTAGCTCTGAAGTGAATATTTTAAATTCATAAACATTTTAAAGAGTCTATTTTTAAACTATTTCGTGTAGAATACAAAACAAACATAGTAGCCACGTCATTTATTTATTGCCTCTTCATTTTGATGGGGATAGCAAATGAAAAGTAATGGCCGAGCCTTTTGAAATTTTATGCTGATGAATTGATGATAAATTATGAACACAACTTTAAGTTCTGTAAGGCTAATTATGTTAGAACTTCTTGTTTTTGAAGAGTACTATCTTCTAGGATATGTTGTCATGTAGTCTGGTAGGAGCTTGGCTGCTTTTCGGAGTAATTTACTGCCTCCTTCAGGTTATAAGAATAAATCGAACAAGCAAGCAAGGTGAGCACTATGATAGCCTTAAAATATCTTAACATTGTTCTGAATAGACCCTCACATTTTTGTTTTCTTATCGAATTATGTTACCTTTTCCTAAAAGCAAATTTATTTCTGTGTACGACAGCTGAAGAGAACATATAATTGTTTATACTTTGCTTAAGGACATACTTGTACTTATATGAAATATAATATCCATTATCATGTCGACGTGTGTACTTGTGCAGNTTGTTTATACTTTGCTTAAGGACATACTTGTACTTATATGAAATATCGACGTGTGTACTTGTGCAGTAGGTATATATGTATATTGCTGCAGTAGGGCCATATACTTGTGCACTAGGCTGTCTTCATTTATTCTTGTACACATCTTCATGTCCTCCGTAGACATGCAGTTATCTATAACATTTATGCCACTTTCGATGTTGTGCGAGAAGTGTTAATGAAATAGGACTTCACTTCGAAGAGGGACGAAACTATATAAACTGCCACTCCAGCTCCAAAATGTTCTCCACTCCTCTGCCACAATCCCGACCCCTTCCACCGTATGCTGCTCGCAACTCCTGCTGCGAACTTTATGGAGTTATAAGGGAGTGTTGTTTCTGGTGCTAAGTTTGAGGGAAGATTTTACTTGGGGTGTGGTTTGAACCCATGTTCAAGTTGGTGAGGGAGGTTATGTTCAGGCGCGCCAAGTTGGATTTTCTGATTTGTGATGTAACTGCGGTTGATGTCAGGATGGATGGATGAATAAAAGGAAGGAGAGACCCCCCTGTTAGCTTTGCAGAGATTAAGGAAAACCGCCTTAGCATACGAGTATCTCTACCTTCTCCATGATTATTAAGTGGTTAAAATATACAGTGTACTGCATAAAGGTTGTAAACCCAAACAGACGATGTATTCGTTTAGTCTCTTATTTAGTAATTAAATTTCTATGCTGTAATAAATTCGACAGATGATCGACTTCCAGTAACATGTATGTCAGCAAATGATTTCAGATCAATTCGTATGTTCGATATTTATTTATTTGAAATTTATTTAACGACGTCAATAACTAGAGCTATATATCGTCAAATGATAATAAATAATGGATTTGAAAAGAAATGGAAGGAACTGGTCGTGGCCTGATTTAAGATTCTCTCCTGGCATTTCCTGGAAGGACTGAGAAAAGCCACTAAAGATATGTCAGGATAGTCTGTTTCTGTGGCCGCGCCATAGCTCAAGCGTTTAGTCGCTGGCTTTCCACCGCGGCGGCCCGGGTTCGATCCCGGGTCTGGTCAAGTTGGATTTGTGGTGGACAAAGTGGTGCTGGGGCAAGTTTTGTCCGAGTACTTCGGTTTCCCCTGCCAATCTTCATTCCACCAATTGCTCCACAATCACCCTCTCCTATCATCTGGGGCTCGTACAATAGGCCAGAAGTGGCCGCAGTACAAGGGA